TATGAAGTATTAAATTTGTTTACCCGCTGACCACTCGTATTTCGGTCATTTCTTACTGCCCCGCTCGTCGCCCGTGATGTAGTAACTCCCCCCTCAAGGGGGGCAACTGCCTTCACGCAAATTTATGGTAAAGGAAAACTCGAGACTTTTCGCACATATAGCTTTATTGATTACCGGTTTCCTGTTGATTTACTATTACGTTTTGAGCTTTAATTATCGAAAACGTTGTACGGTTTTTTAACACTGTGCTGGAGGCTCTTGCAGTTGAACATTTGAGTAAGTTGCTATAGTGGAGTCCAACAAGCACACCCTATGAAATCGACTGGAAACTTTGATTTCAGTTTGGAGAAGACCCGAATTTTTTCCAGCAAAGCAAGAGTCACAAGAGAAGACTTGAAACCTTACTGAACAACTGACAGAGGTAAGTATTTTAATCCGAATTGTTTGAGACTCCATTCGAGGCGCTCTTTATAAGTTAAGATCGACCGTTATGCGACTCCATTTTGAATTTCGGAGGTACTGAATTTCCAGCAAAACAGTCTGTAAACGACTGGAGAGCTTTGGTTTTGGCTCCAAAGAGTGCGGTAACACTTTTATTCGTCTAAAGTAGAATAAATTACACTAGATTTACATACATAGTACTCGTTCTTAGTCAACGAGCCGACACATTGCAAGTGAAGAGGAAAGAGATTTACTCGTTCGCTTTTCGTTTTAAATTTTTCTCCTTAGGTTTGGGAGCTCCTCCCTGCTAGTTCCGGACTCGTAGCAATGTGGTGGTTGACAAGGATCTGACGCAATCTAGTGTCCTTTTTCTTCATAAGGTCAAAATGCTGGGACTGGGTATTGAATTTAGAGTGTATTCTTTCAATCCCTTGTTCGCCATAGAATCTAAGGCTCATGTGCCATTGTCGAAGAAAAGGGCAAACATGTTCTTCTAGCATATGGAGCTTTGGTGTGATCATCATGTCTGGAAATTTTTTCCTAATGAACTGAAGAAAATGTGTGATGTCTTCCTCTGCAACAAGAAAACAAGAAAAGGTGAAACAGACGCAGGACATGATCTTATTATTGTATTCGTGTTTTCCATGAAAGTCAGGTTTTTTTCTTTCACTGACCTAGCTTATCAATCTTGCCATCATTGAGATAGTCTGTACTGTCAGACTAAGTGGCAAGCAGCAGATACTTGAAAACTTGTTCAAATTTAACACTAATTTCTCTTGCTTGAGAAAGGAAGGAAGGAAGGACACAGCTCCTCTGTTTTTGTCACCACAGCACTGCATAGTTTAATGATGTTGTCTTCCTACCAAAAAGAAAACTGCAACAATTTAATTGAATTTTATGACTCAACAAATTCCTTGTGTTGCCTTGCAGCAAGTGTGTAAGTGGTTACCAATGAATGATTTTCCATGGTAAGCTTGTCTCTCCATATTCATTTTCTTGAGAACCTCATCTAAATGAACTGATAGTGGTCCATTGGCTTTCTCAAAGGCAGCCAATTCCATTTGTTCATCCACAAGCGTTTCCTGTAATGTTGAGATAACGCTATTTAAATCTGGGTTATTTGACTTACTGTTGATAGGTTATTAAATTAATTTCAGCTAGTGTTATATAAATAAATGATTTATAAAACAAAATCATAACTTCTTTAACTAAAAAATTAAAATGGGTTTGAAACATGTGCGATGGAATTGGAGGATTGTACAGCTGTGATACTGGAAAAAACAAATATATTATCGTTACCTCCTCTGTTGCATTTCCAAGGAATTTGTCTATCTCCTGTAGTAGTGTAAAGTAGTATAAACATTAGCATGCAGACTTTGTAAATTCAGCATCTCCTGTAAAGAATTAACTTTTTCATGAAATTGTTATGCCTGTCTAGTATGTAGTTGGGCAGCTCTGAATGCCTGGATCTTTTCATCATTCTCTTCTCTGTCTCCTGCCAGCACCCAAGCTATTGTAAAGTCCAAGAACACAAACCTGAAATAGAGAACCATTTAGTTAGGTGTCATGTGTGTCCCTCTTCAAAGGACTGAAAATGGATTATCTTATCTTTTGTTTTGAAAATGAATGTCTTTATTTTCAACTTAAAAAAATATTTTATTACCTGGCCATCTGTTTTGAGGAGAATACTCGCCTCATCCTGAGACTATGAAAGGAACTGTCACGTGATGAACAATCCAACTTCCTCCTTTACCGATGAATGAACTTCCTTTGGGCTGGTTAGTAGTTGATTAACTGACAGTTGTTCCCCATAGGTTGTTGTTGTGCCAGTGATGGTTGTAAGTTCTGCTTGTACTGATGTCCTTTTCCTCTGCTGCAGGTATGGGTTTCACTGGGACAAGGGGGGATGGTTTTATTGAAACTGATCTTTGCAAAGGGGCTAAGATAAGTGTTGATGCTGTTGTAGGGCTTGGAATGCAATATTCTTGATGCTGAGGTAGTGGGTGAAGTTTTACTGTGTGTTTACAAGTAGGACATTGAAAATCTAACTCTAAAAGTATAGTTGAAAGAACAAAAGGGGCTGGCTCAATGAACTTGTAAGGATTTACAATGACAGTTTGGCACACCGGGCAAAGAGATCCACACATTTCAAAAGAAAATGACAAACAACTAGCACAAAACATGTGTGGAGTTCGGCATTTACCTCGGTAAAGTTCGGTAAGTTCGGCATGTACCTCTGCAAATTGGGCACATATACTCATGCTTGATGTTTTCAACAAACTGTTTCAAGTAGAAAGGTTCTGATCCTCTAAAGCTTTGTAGATTCTTTACCTACTCAGAGAATGAGGGTGAGGCTGGGTCAGGTTGGAAGCTTAAAGTGCCGGACATTCCTTCCACCATTTCCACCACTTCCTTGGATCCAGCCGAGTCCTCTTTGGGTTTTATTCCAGGTTTAATCTTCTTCCCACCAGGTTTCCGTTGATCTTTAGAGAAACTGTAGATCTTACAGTTGCCAGTGCGTTTCTGTGGAGGTTACACATTGATTGCAAGGCGTGTGCCTCCTCTTAAAGCAAGCTTGTAGCACTTGTGGCAGAACGTGGGAGTGCGCATGTCAAGGTCATCTTTACGATCTTTGTCACCAAAGGCTGTGAAAATAATCTCCATCTTACCAGCGCAAAGAAAACTTGTTTCATACTTATCTTTTGCCTTCTTCAATCGCTCTCAACACATATTTGTTGATGTTCAGAAAGGCCAAAGTTAGCCATCTGAATGTACTAATTTAACCGAGTTCTAAACTAAACTTGGATTACGCAACGCAGTTCTAACTTGACTCAAGATATGTTCCGAAGTTCCTTTTCCGACCTTACATTGCTTCAGAGGGGTACACCCTTAGGGTTTGTACCTTGTGTCAGGAAGGGGTGTCTATTTATTTCTCTCGATCGGTTTCTCATGGGGTGCGGGAAATATTTGCATTCTTGTGTTATTGCGTGTAGTTTGTTCCATTTGAAGGGGGGGAATATTCGTTAAAAACCATGTTAATCGTGGCCAAGAACAACGATTTAACTACCAGATCAAAGCACAAACAGTAATATATAATTGGAGGGTTTATTTTCTCTGATCGTGATTGAAATGTTGACCGAAAGAAACGTCTTGTCCGTGCTTACACTATTTCCCGCAGCTTCCCTTGACAGATCGATGACGTACACTTTTCGGGAAGAAAATCACGCGCACATAGTGCGACTTTCTTGCACGCAAGAGAAGGCCGTGGACATTTTAGCAGTTTGTTATACATCGTTTATTCTTTGGTTAGCCCATGGGTAAGCATGATTGTATTTAGAGTATAAATTCGCCTTGTTCAGGGGCATTAGCTCGAGGTCAAAGAGGAGATGGACGCCATATTTACTATTTCGGTGGCGAAGTGTCATCGCAGATTACACTGCGCAAAACAATTCGGATTAAAACGTCATGGTACAGAAACTAACGGCAAAGGAGAAACGTAAAGCCATAGTCGTTCCTTTGTTGAAGAAAAATTCGAAACGACCAGAATCTTGCCTGAAAATAAGAAGACCTCAGAAAGGCGATAAGTGATCTCGCGTCGAAACAGGATGCCATTGGCCGTTTTTATGCTAGAGACGTTAAAGTTGTCTAAGACGTTAAAGTCGTCTCGAGACGAATTTAACGTCAAGTATAATTTACCGTTTTTATACTTGACGTTAAAGTCGTCTCGAGACGACTTTAACGTCTTAGGCAACTTTAACGTCCCTAGCATAAATGCATCTATTCAGCCGTCGTATAGTTAACTATCCCGCAAATGCAATCTTTCCTAGTCATGTACTCGCTTCACCAGCTCTGCTTTTGTCTTCAACCTTATTCCCGCATCTCCGCGACGTTTAAGTCAAAATTTAAATCAAGAAATGTCTGATTTGAAATATTCGAAGTATTCGCCATTGCAAACGAAGAGGGTCGCGACGCAATGGGTTTGGCCTTTCTGACCTCGTTTTCATGCAACTCGATCCAGGATTCTCGCGCTGTCCCCCATTCTATCTCTCTGACGAAGGGCTAACGCTCGAAACGTCAGCTTTTTTACTCTTTACGGTGGCTAATTTTCGTTTTCAAGCCAGTTGTTAACACTAAATTACCAGCTATACTCTCCCACCGACGCAGCACCACAGTTTCTTTAGAAACTTGCCCCCTTTAGCCATTCTGAAAGTTGTGTATTAACCAGAAGAGGGGCATTTTGTTGCGCATGTGCCAACGAAATTTGTTCGGCGCATTCGGCGCCGTTTTGATATTTTCAGCGCGCTTTTGCGGGTTTTAAACTGAGCGATTGACACCTTTCTGTGATAATTTTTGGAGAGGGATGAAAGAGTACGACAAGTTTACCACCATTTCTAACTCTGTGGATACTCGTGGAGTTTGTTGGCTCTTCGGATGAGGATATTTTAGTGATCAAAATGCGAACAAAACGCGAAAAAAGGCCGAAAACTTGATGTTTGAGATTTAATTTGCTGACGATCAAGATTTGCACATGAGACTACAAACCTTGAAGGTTAGTCTTAAGATGTTGATTTCTAATTTCTATGAATCACGAAGTGATGTGTGGAGGCGATCGCGAGATATTCGTTACGATAATTGGAGGTAGTTTACAATTTGATCTTATTGTACTTCAACTTTGAAATTAAATTACGTTAAGTTCGAGGTGGCCCCAAGCTTCAAATCACTTCAAATAACATCTTCTCTTCTTTCTCTTCGTAGTACCATAGAACACGAGGCTTAAAAAAAATGTTCCAGCTTTAAGATTGAGTTGCTCTTTCTACAACCTTCGGCGAATTCGTTTTTGGGAGGTTAAGGTGGATTTTCCAAGTCGTGGCTCACAACTGTCTTTGGCCTTTTTGCTCTCCAAATCTGTTATACTTGGTATGTAGGCATGTGTCTTAACAACGTTTATAGTCTTTCCTCGATCATCTCTGGTCTTATCTTGTTTTGTTGCTGTGTTTTGGTGAGAATTTATCTGATTGCCCTTTTGGGCTCGAAGTGTTAACTAGAGGATAAACTTCGGTAGAACTTGTTTTATCACATGGCCCCCAAATCCCTCACCACTGTCAGTTCATTGTTTATTTATTTAGCTTTCGGTCTAACCAGTTCCTTTACCTAAAAAAAAATGCGTGGGCTTTGTATCATGAGTTTAAACTGATGCTGTTTTCTTCATGTTCATGTTTTATTCGAAACGGATGGCGTCAGCTTCATTCTATCTTGTTTATTTCAGTAGAATACTTCTGCCAAACGAAATTAATTTTGAGTCGAAGTGTGCTTTAAAACTCGCAGATTAAAATTATCTAACTTTCTCTGGTTCTTAAAACATGAAATGAGCGATACAATAAATGGATAATTACTCAAGGGGCTGGAACTCCTTGTTTCTTTAGAATGTGAACTACAGTATTTCTGTCATATTTTTTCGGTTTAAAATTTCTTCAAACCAGTTTGACTTGCATTTCACTTTGCCAGATAAGTCTTGATCCTTCAATTTTTATTTCTAATTGAGACTGATGATTGGAATTAACTATTATGTTCTCTGCTGTTTAGGGAGATGTGAAGTGACCCCACTACATATGGTTGGTACTATTGAGAGAAAGGATAGGTCTGACATTTGCTGTGGTAAGCTGGCATTCAAGAGAATGTCATTAGTACCAGAAGCTTACTACTGGTATAAACTATCAATCTTTTGTTCTCTTGCCTTAACTAGCTTATGCTATATGCAACTTGTGTCTATACCTTTTTTGCAACTGTAAAATTACCAATAAAGTTTTTGAAAGTTTTGTCCAAATTTCATGGGAAAAGAACACAAGGAGTGATCAGTTGAAATATTGTC